ATAGCAGACAAGAGCACATGACAGACTAAGTAATAAAGAGAATTAATGAGGGCAGAGGTTTGGGGCTTTTAGTTTGTGGAGATAAGAAACCAGGAATGTGTATAGCAAAGGAATGAGATGATTCAATATTTATAGCAAAGAGTTTTCAAGCATCATGACTAAGACATACATTATAGTTCACTGACATTTTATTGGAATTTTGGCTACATAAAAAAAAAACATGTAAATAAAGACTCAGAACATACATATATTAGAAAAGATAATGATATTTCTGACATGGGTTTAACATCTTCTTGAATATCGTCATAATGTTCCTGAGATTAAAAGAAAGGGRAAAATTTTTTTAACATGTTGGAAAACTATTAACTAATCCTATGTAATTTCCTTTTTATATATTCAAGCCAAATAAATAGTGAAGATAAGTATCTCTCATCAGTTTTGTTTTTATGCATGAGATAACCATGGGCATAGATTTTTTTGAGATTTTTTTATAGTTGTTGCAAATTTGGGGGGGGTTGTTTTCTTTTGTTTTGGCAGTACTAGGAATTAAATTCAGGAGTTCTGTACCACTGCACTACATACCACTGAGTGGGGTGCTTTATTTTTTTGTTTTGAGATGGAGTCTCACAGTTCCTGCTGGCCTCAAACTTGTGATCCTTCTTCTGTCTCAGCCTTCCAAGTTGCTGGGATTGTAGGTGTATGCCACCATGCCCTACTGACATGGATGTTTTACAAAATATTAATGGCAAAAAAGACTTGTGTGTCTAATAACTATAGAAAATAAAATGATACTGGCAATGCAGGAAACTGTGTCTGCTATAGGAGCACCTCCCTATTTTCAGCCTTCTTTTTCTCCACACTCTGACTTGATAGGAGGTTTTTTGGTTTGTTTTGTTTTTGGCAGTACTAGGGATTGACTCACATGCTAAGCAAGTGTTCTGCCACTGGGTTATATCCCTAGCTCTTGTCAATTTTTTATTGATTCTTATCGAACTTCATTCATATTCTGGCCATTGTGAAACACTGCACAACTTGAAAACATTAAACCTAGCCTCAGAATAGTAAAAATTAGTAGTACTGAATTACCACTAATTACCAATTTAATTTTCTCTCTCATGGAATGATGTTGCAGAACAATAGATTTATACTATTATTAAAAGTATCTTTCTGTATTGCAAACAAGAATGTAAAGAGTATTTGAAACCACTTTGGCAGTGGGAGGTAATGGGGGGAATATGACCTTAGTTCCTAAAAGTGATAATGACTTCTAATTTAATTTCACTAAGAACACTTTGCCTCAGGGTTTACTCCTATAAAATATTAGGTTTCTTCTTAGAGGAGGTTTAGAGAATTTGTACCAGCACATTTCCAGCCCTGATAATTTCTGTATCCTCAAGAAAGTCTCTCCTCTGGAGCTTGGTTTCTCCAAAGATAAAATGAAAAGATGTAATTCTAAGATTATTTTTATACCTAAAACTACGTGAAATAGCCACAGATTTTAAGAAGGTCAAATATCTATTGAGAGGAGAAAGAAAATATGCAGTAAGAATATATGCATGAAATTATCTTGTAATTTTCTGACTTTTAAGAATAMGACAATGATCACACCCATGTATTATAAAGAAATACACTAAAGGAGGGGCTGGGGGTTTAGCTTAGTGTTAGAGTATGTGCTTAGCCTGTGCAAACTCTTCGTTCTGTCCCTAGCATCAAAAGGAAAAAGAAAGGAAAGGAATATACTAAAGGAAAAACCTTTCATCCATTTGAAAAGAAATGTGGTTTTAGATTTCTGCCTCAGAGGTGATAGATTCAGAAGTGCCCAGAGTTACAAAGCTCTTTTTTCCCAGTCCAGGCCTGCTACACACTAGCAGGTGGTAGTTACAGGCACTACTGCATGCTGAGTAGCTAACCTTCTCCTGCCCTCCATAGACCACCCACCCCAGAAAGGAATGTGTTCCAGACACAGGTAAGCCAGGTGTTCTACAGAGCAGGGGGGAGGGGAGGATGTTGCTTGCACACCTTTTCTGAAGGACTGGCTCCTCAACTTGCAGTATGCCCTTGACCTGGCAGCTGTGCTGAAAGTACATTTAAATTCAAGTTTTGKTCTATAAGCAGATATCAGAACTGTGGTAAATATGCATTTCATTTATTGAAGGTATCCCAAAAAAGTAAACCRTTCCTGCGTTACTTTACTTCTGGCAAATAGCAGTGATGTCTGTGAAATAATTTAAAACCAGCAAAAGAAAAATCTACACAAAGAGGAGATTTTCTTTATGATCTTTTGAATAAAATGATGTCCTGTTTAGACACACACAAAAAGACTTCACCACCAAAGGTTATATGCAAAAGAATACTCTAGCCAGGTGCAATGTCACACATTTGTAATTGTAGCAGCTTGGGAGGCTGAGGCAGGAGGATCGCAAGTTCATAGCCAGTCTCAGCAACTGAGAAAGGCCGTGTCTCAAAAAAAAAAAAAAAAACTGGGGATGTGGCTCAGTGGTTAAGTGCCCTTGGGTTCAAACCTTGGTACAAAAACAAACAAATAAAAAAAAACCAACACTGTTCTCAGCAGTGAAAGGGCCAATACTATGTGAGAGCACAACAAAACTGAAAAAATTTGGTGACTGGAAAAAAAATTAGGCTAGGCTATTGAAATAGCTGTGAAACTCAATGAGACTGTTGGGAAAAAAGGAGATCACAGTAAGAAAGTAAAGACTGATTAGAATAATGAAGGCATATAGGCCTGCACCTGGGTACCTGGGTTCATCCAGCAGGCTTGGCCTCTTGTATCAGTGAATGCTTTGTGTAACTGCTAGATTTTACGGAAGTTTTTCAGTTTGTGTGTACTTTATGAGACACTGACAAAATGGTGTCTATGAAATTAAGTACGAAGTCCTGATGAAATTAAAAATCAGAAGTTGTCAGCTACAGAAAATATAAGAAGAGTATAAAAATATATTTGATTTATTTTACATTAAGATGCTTGAGCTGGGTGCGGTGGCACACACCTGTAATCCCAGCAGCTGAGATTTGAACTGGCAGTGGGGATCACAAGTTCAGAGCCAGCCTCAGCAAAAATGAGGTGCTAAGCAACTCTGCAAGACCCTGTCTCTAAATAAAATACAAAATAGGGCTGAGGATGTGACTCAGTGGTTGAAGTGCCCCTGAGTTCAATCCCTGGTACATTTCCCACCCATCCCCAAAAAAAGACTGACAATGAATGTTAATGACAATGATACACAATTAGGAAACTCAACATACAAAAGATAAAAAGTTCTCAGTGAAGCCAAAAATTTGAATAATGTTTTAGTCTGTTTTTTCGACACTGTGACCAAAAGAACAGTTTTAGAGGAGGAGAAGTTTATTTGGTACTCACAGTTACAGAGATCTCAGTCCACAGACAGTTGACTCCGTTGCTATGTGCTCCAGATGAGGCAAAACATCAGGGCAGAAGGGCATGGAAGAGAAAAGCAGCTCAGAACATGACAAYCAGGAAGGAGGGAGAGGGCTCCCCTCATCACAGACAAAATATAAACCCCAAAGGCATGCTCCCCAGTGACTCCCCTTCTCTGACCATACTGTACCTGCCCTAGTTACCATGCTGTTAATCCCTATCTGGCTCTCTCCCAATCATTTCACCTCTAAACTTTCTTGCATTATCTCACACATGAGCTTTGGGGGGACACCTAATATATAAGCCATAACAGATAAAAAAGTAACTATTGACATCATTTATTAAGTAGGTTGCTCTAAATATTTACATAGTCATAATGGAAAAAAACAATATTACTATGCARTCGGTAGTGCTGTGTGCCAAATGCTTTTATTCTCTTCCTTTTTCCAAGTACAGAATGATATTTCCTGGGTCCTTTGTGATTGGGTTTGACTCTGTGACTAGTTCTGACTAATAAGTTGCTAGTGTTTATAAAGATCCTCTTTTGGAGTCAAGCGATTGATTATTCCTTTATCTTTGATAGAATTGGTAAAGAATACAACAAAGGTGACTAGTTATGACCAATAAGTTGCTTGTGTTTATAAAGATCCTCTTTTGGAGTCAAGCGATTKATTATTCCTTTATCTTTGATAGAACTGGTAGAGAATACAGCAAAGGGGCTGGGATTGTGACTCAGTGGTAGAGCGCTTGACTAGCACATGCAAGGCCCTGGGTTCGATCCTCAGCATCACGTAAAAATAAATAAATAAAAATAAAGGTATTGTGTCCAACTACAACTAAAAAATCAAAAAAAAATTTTWAAAAAGAATAAAGCAAAGGCCAGTTGCTGCTAAGTGTGTTGTGGTATATAATAGTTTACTAAATTTATTTCCATTCTTACTTGAACTTCATAGTAGTTCTGGGAAGTAGAGACATATAGAAGGCAAGAACTTAGATCCTATAGGTGCAGAGCCAAAATTCAAGCCTTCATTCTGGCTCCAAGTCAACTTTTAATAACTGTGTTACTTCCCGTAAACTATTATACACAGCAGAGTGTGAACCCCATGTACTAGGGAAAACTAACTTTGCCATTTGGTAATAAATGCAAATTTTACTCTAATAGATTAATTTAGTTTAGATATTTTAAAAATTCACTCCAAAAAGAAACAATATTGTCAGTCTGTTAATTGCTTTGTYTTCTGAATTAATGTAAATTTTTAATGTAATTCACAATTTACTTTGTGCCTATGCATATACTAAGCATTTTATGTTCATTAGCTCATTTAATCCTCACAAAAATCTATAACATAGGTACTGTCAATATCCCTGTTTTACAGATGAGAAAATTGGAGTTTAGAAATACTAACCTGCCCAAGGTCACCCAGCTAATGAATGCAAAGCTGAGATTTGAACTGGCAATCTAACTTCAAAGCCAACACTCTTGAACATTTTAGATTGTCTCCTGTAGAATTCCAAAATTATGATTCTAGAAATGTTCTTAATCATCTCTGCCCATTTTTGGTGGTTTTATTGAAACCCATGTACTGTTCTTTTTTTTTTCTTCTAGGTTTATGTTCCAGATGAAAATAATGCTATTTTGGGAAGAAATACAAATAAACAAGTTTTTGAAGGCTTGACAACTGGACTTCTCAAAGTCACTGCTGTGGTTTTYGGCTGCCTGATTGCCAATCGACCAGATGGAAACAGCCGTCCAGCCACACCAAAAATATCAACACAGGAAATGAAAAACAAATCCTCACAAGTTGATGCTTTTAACAGTCGAGTTCAAGACCTTATCAGGTAAAATTCCTATATTTCTTAAAGCTTTATTCTGTTTTTTAAAAAATCATATTAAAATAACTTAAACCTTAGGGCCCACTTGATGGCAGTGTGTCTCACAACACTATACAGAAATATACCACATTTTATATAGAGAAGGAAAATCCTCTTAATAGTTAGAGCTTGCTGCCATTTTTGATATTTAGATATGCGACATTAGTGTATATAGTGTCAGAGCCTTTACAGTGGTGTATTTTTTTTTTCGTGGTGCTGGGGATTGAACCTCGGCCTTGTGCGTGCAAGGCAAGCACTCTGTCAACTGAGCTATATCCGCAGCCCTACAGTGTTCTTGATATCAACTTTTTCTGACTGAAAAAAAGTCTGAGAATTCCGCTCAGTTCATCTCTGGTTGTGAATTTGTTACCATTTTTGGAGCACCCATTACATGTAAGGTATTGTAATAGAGCCTGTGCAGCACTGTTAAATGTAGGATTTCTAATTTAGACTTTGTAAATGAGGAAATTGCTCAAAAAGGTTTAAGTGCTTTGGCCAAGGTTATGCAATAAATAAGCTAGAAAGTAGTAGGAAAACTGAGACTGGCACTCACATCTAGCTGGACTCCCAGCATCTGTATGCTTTCCAGTAACAAATGTGACAATTTCTGACACCTGTTCAAGGTCAGCCTTGCTTCCTTCCAAGGTCTCATTTTCTCCAGGGAAATTTACTCCTACTTTGGCATTTGAACTCTTTTTTCCTTAGTGAATCTTGAACCAGGTAGGACATTTAATTTCCCAGTAGGGTTCCATCTGTTGTTAATCAGTTACCTGTTCCACAAGTCAGCGACTCTGCTGTGGTCTGCAATGATCTCTGGCTCCCCAAATCCCTGCAATTTGTTGCTCTCTGAAACTTATGGTAGGTTAATAGGAGAAAGAGAATGCCTTCCTCTGCATTTACTTCTTTCACAGTTCATAAATTTCCTCTGGCTTCTTGTAGTGCTTTCTTGGAAACAGTTGTTTCATTCAGTATCTTCCTTACCCTTGATTACTTTGTTCACTTATCCCTTCCATCTGCCTGCCCTCTTTCCCCAAGCATATTTATTGCTGGAGAGCACCAGGCCCTTTGGGTCCACAACCATTTATCTTACAGCACTTGACTTTTACCCTCTCTGCCCTTTCTCTCAGTTGCTTGATCCCATTCAATTTCCCCATGTCCTCTTGGTCATTGTAGAACTTAGCCCACTCTGTTGATGAATACCATTCTGTCCCAGCATTCTCCCTTGGGCTACCATGTGATGCAGCAGCCCTACATACTTGTCATCCAGACAACTTAGCCACATGCCTCAGCTGTGATGAGGCAGAAGGCACAAGCTAATGCATTAGTGCAATTCCAGTGGGCCCTCCAGGAGAAAATATATACATTTTCACATATCTAATAGTTAGCAAATCCTTCTTAAAGGAGGGAAGGCATTATGGAAAAAATCAGTAGTGGTATTCTGTCAGCCAAATAAATTGTGTGTCTTTTAAAGGTTGATTTTCAATCATAACCCTATGTTGGTCCTTCTCTGATTTGAACCACTTTGGATGAAAATTGTTTTCCTACAGTTAATGCATTGTTAGTTAACTTAATGATGCCTATGTGTAGAACCACAGCCATATCTCTGATTCTGCCTAGTGTAGCACAGAGAGCAGGTTTATTCAATTCCTTAATTGCTTTCTTACCTCCCCAAATATGAACTGACAAGAAACCTCAGTACACTCACAGCTACATCCTGGACATTTTTGCCAGTTGTGAAGTTGAGTCATTAGGTTCCTGCCCCATCTTTGGAGCTGGCTATAGCATGTACCACTGAGTAGAGCTAGAGCAGAGCTGGAGGAGACTTTGACATACATCTCTTCCTTCTCCTCATCTGGCATTTAAGGGGCAAGGATGTATGTTTTTCAGTGTTTAAATATTCTATATTTTATTATGAAATATATCAGTGTACATAAAAACAAAATAATAGATACATGTGTATCCACAATTAACTGATAACATTTTTCTTTATTTTAGACTTTGATTTTTATATTATTATTTAGAATCCAAATACAGATGCAGCTGCCTCTGCATCTCCATCCTTTTTCCCTTACTCTGTCCCAAGAGTTAAATCACTATGTTGGGGTTTATGTATATCATTTCCGTGTGTGTGTGTGTGTGTGTGTGTGTGTGTGTGTGTGCACTCATGTGTATCCATAAAGAGCATATTCTACTTTCTATTTTCATGATTTTTTAAAATTTACATATATGCTTTGATACTGTTTTGTCAATTACTGATTTAATGCTGTTAAACATAACATGTTGAAATTTTTTTTCAGCTTTATGTTGATTCATATAAATCTGGTTAATGCATTTTAACTGCTCTACAATTCTATTCTGTTCTGTGAAAAAATTTCTAACTTGTTTATCCATTTCCAATAGTTTCTTACTTTTCACTATATCAAGTAATGATGTAGACATCTTTATAGAAATTTACTTTGTACTTATTTGAGAGTTTCTTAAGGATAAATACCTAAAGGAGGAATTTATGGGTGACATGACAAGTGCATGTTTAACTTCACCTGGTAACACAGAATTGTTTTCCAAAGTACGAATATTAGCTCCCATCACCAAAAACTAAGAGTTCCCATCTCCACAAATCTTTGCCAGTGCTTTGCAATGGTATTTGGTTGTTGTTTTCATTTAAATTGTGTTTATTTTACTACTAGTGAGACTGAATGTTGTTTATCAAATATTGGTCAACCAGAATTCAGTTACAGAAAACAGAAACTATTATAGCAATATTTATTTATTTATGATACTGGGGATTAAATGCAAGGGTACTCTACTTCTCAGCTACATCCCCAGCATTTTTTTTTTTTTTAATTTTGAGACAGTGTCTTGCTAAGTGCCCAGGCTGGCTTTTAACTTGGAATCCTTCTGCCTCATCCTCCTGAGTTGCTGGGATTATAGATGTGTATCACTGTAAGTGACTATTATGGCAATTGTAAGCAGAAATGGATTTAACACAGAAAATTCAGTACTTATAAATTTATCTATGCTCATTTTCCAGGAATGACTCCCAGAACAATTGTGCAAAACTAAAGTGGTATTATATCTATCAAAATCAAGAGTTACTATGTATTTTATAATCAAGAACTATGCTGAACCAGTGGAACTATTCAGTTCAATAGCTCATTGCCTTAACATAGCAAGAAGCTACCACTACCCATGCTACAATAGTGTGCCCATCTTGTCTCTCAGCCTCCAAGATATTTCCATAGACAAACAAAATGACTTTATGAACACACTTTGCAAATGAAAAAATACACAAAAGTAGTCATTAGTTCATTTTTACTTTCTAAATTTAGCTTTTAAAACCAGACATGGTGGCACACCTGTAATCCCAGTGACTTGGCAGGCTGAGGCAGGAGGATCACAAGTTCGAGGTCAGCCTAGACAACTTAATGAGCCCTTGTCTCAAAATTTAAAAAAAATAAAAATGACTGGGGTTATAGCTTAGTGGTAGAGCATCCCTGGGTTCAATCCCTAGTACAAAAAAATAAATAAATTTAAAGTTTAAATGAGAATACAGCTAATGGCTACTGTACTAGAATATAGTTCTTTATTCTTTATTTTTCTAGTTCTAGCAGTTACTAAAAGAGGAGTGTTAAAATCTTCAACTATGATAAAAGATTAAATTTGTTTCATGCATCTTGAAGCTCTGTTATTAGATATGTTTTAGTACTATTAACGTCTTACAGATGGAATAGCATAGCCCTCTTTTCATTATTTTTATCTATTTGTGTTAAATACTCCTTGTTTTGGAATCTAATTGTTTAATATTAATATGCCTCAGCCAACTTCTTATGCGTATTGTTTAGTCTGTTTTGTTACATCTTTGGTTTTTTTTTCTTTAAACACTTTAAGATGCCATTTTATTCTCCTCTGACTTCCATCATTTCTTATGAAAAAACAGCTTTTATTAATATCATTTTTTCCCTGTAAGTTACATGTCTTTTTTCTCTCCAACTTTCAATCATTTTTTCTTTTTCCTTGAGTTTCAGGAGTTTGGCAGTGATTTGCTTAGATGTRGTTTCCTTTAGGCTTATTATGATTGAGGTTGGATAAGCATCCTGAATCTATAAGTTGTTACTTTTCCACCAAAATAGAAATCTGTTTTAAAATACCTTTTCACAAAGAAAAGTTAAGGTCCAGATGCTTTACTTGTAAATTCTCTGAAACATCTAAGAGAGAAGTAATACCAGTCATACATACAGTCTTTCAGAGGAAACGAGGAAATACTTGCCACTTTATTTTTAATGCCAGTATAACTTAATCTGACCAAAATATTCCAAAAARGAAAATTACACATTAATATTCCTTGTGACCATAAATGTAGAAATCCTTAACAAAACTTTATAACAATTAAATCCAGCAAGATATTAGAGGATAATCCATCATGACCGAGACTTATTCTATGACTGCAAGGTTAGTCTCACCACTCAGAAATTACCATATTAATAACCAAAAACCATATCCTTCTTGAAAACTAACATTGCAAGCTACATTTTCATGGATAATAGCAAAAGACAGAAAGCTTCTGGGTCAAAGACAGAAAATAATTATTAACAAACAGCAAGCAGTTTGAGCTATTCTCACCCATAAATCTCACAGGAATAATAGAGGGTGGGCCCAGATGAATGTTGCACATACAGTGGRTTTGCATCATAGCTGAGAAATCTCACAAGCTTAAGAAGTCCCAGTCTTTTATAATAGATCTGCTGAACCTTCACCTGGAGAGGGACATTGTCTTTATTACACTGGACAACAAACAAACTTACCCTTTAAAAGCTATAAAGGAAGAATGTTTCACATCTCTGTCTTCTAAGGCTTTTCCTTTTATAGATATTTATCAGAAAAGATTATATAGCAAAAAAGCTGTCACTTCATCTTTTCATAAGGCATGCAGAAATCAGAAACCCATGAGGAATTATTTCCTGACACTGACCCACCCTGCAAAAATAAAAAAGACATTATATAATCAGTAGATGCAGCAAAAGTATTTTACAGAATACAACACATTCATGTTATTTAAAACATATGCATACATACAGAAAAGTGGGAAATGACAAGAAAATCTACAGTACTTTATGATTCACAAGAACTGTTCTTTTTCACCATTTTTATGTAGCATTGTTGCTGAAAATGCTAGCTAGTTCAGTAAGGGGAAATTTTAAAAAGGCATAAAGTTAGTAAAAAATAAAACTTGTTATTTGTAGTGTCATGTTACATATTGTAGAAAAACAATGTAATCTGCCAAGAAAAATAAAAATAATTGAAACTATAATGAGGTTTCAGCAAGATTGGAGGATATAAATAAAACTCGTACAGAATTCAGTTGTGTTGCTATGTATACCATCAAATAGTTAGAAATTAAAACTTGGACTGGGGATATAGCTTAGTGATATCGTGCTTACCTGGCATGCATAAAGCCCTAGGTTTGATCAATACCACTGCCAAAGAATAAAATAAAATTGAAAAAATAATGCCATTAATAAAAACCATCCAAAAATATCAGATATCTCCAAATAAATCTCATGATAGAGTTGCAACACCTCTATGAAGCATGACTGATAAAAATAAAGAAGACCTAATAAATAGAGAATATATATCATATCCATGGGTCAGAAGACTCAATATTATTAAAACACTATGTCTTCCCAAGTTGATTTACAGATTTAATGCAGTACTAATCAAAATCCTTAGTAGGCTCTGATAGAAATTTATAAGTCAGTTCTAGAATTTATGTGGAAATGCCAAAGATCTAGAATACCCAGAACCATTGTGAAAAAGAATAAGGTCAGAGAATTTGCCAGATTTTAAGACTATAGTGTAAAGATAGCCTCCAAAATAGGGGTTTTTTAAAAAAAAAAAAAAAAAAAAAAAAAGCCCACAGACCTCACAAAGTCCAAAGTTTGTGAGGTTTTTGGTTTGGTTTGGTTCTGGTTCTAAGACTTGGTATCGGAAACCCACTTAAGCCCTTTTCATCTTAAGACTAGATTGTTGTAACTTAGTATGGTCATTATTAGTCTCAGAAATAATTTTACATCCTTATTTAAAAACTTAAACTTTAGTAAGGAACCCCCCCAAAAAAAATATCCCACAAAAAAACATGTTTACTGGAAAGAAGACTCTTACCAGGGGTCAGTAGATCTTAGAATGTTTCAACTCTCCTGCTTGGGCTAGTGTTTTGCCCTTCTTTGAACCTCAGTTTCTTTCTCTATCAGATGGAAATAGTAATGTAATCTTCAGATAGTGAATTTGGTTTTCTTATACCCTGCTTTATTCAAAGTTTTAAAAATATAATATAGGTACCCATATCAAGAAGCCTAAAAATTTGTGTACCTCTTTAATTCAGTAACTCTAGTTTTGGAAAGTAATCTGAAATCTGGCAAAGATTTGTACACAAAATATTAATCACAACCTGGTTCATAATAGTGAATTTTAAAAACAACCAAAAAGTTCCAAAAAATTCCATTTCACTGTATTCAATCATTAAAATTATGTTTGTGACCTCTGGAATCTAGATCATTTAACAGGAAAGACTTAGTTGAAAAAAAAAACATGTTATGTGATACCATAAGCATATACTCAGCAAAATTCAATTTGTGCCAGAGTGTATAGAATATATAATCAGGTTTCATCAACAAATAAATTTGAAAAGAGGGTTAAAAAGAGAAAGAGATGGAGAGGTAACCAAYAGATTAAAGAAACTTAAGACATATTAATTAGTCATAATGCATAATTCTCATTCTTTTTTAATTTAAAAAATAATAACGTCGGGCTGGGGATGTGGCTCAAGCAGTAACGCGCTCTCACCTGGCATGCGCGCGGCGCTGAGTTCGATCCTCAGCACCGCATAAAAATAAAGACGTTGTGTCCACCGAAAACTGAAAAATAAATATTAAAAAATTCTCTCTCAAAAAAAATAAAATAATAATAATAACGTGAATCAAGTTATACTATTTGCTCTTGAACAAGAATTACAGAAACTAGGGGCTGGGGCTGTAGGTCAGTGGTAGATCACTTGCCTAGCACAGGTGAGGCACTGGGTTTGATCCCCAGCACCATATAAAAATAAAATACAGATATTGTGTCCACCTACAACTAAAAAATAAATGCTTAAAAAAAGATATTGTGTTCATCTAAAACTAAAAAATATATTTAAAAAAGAATTACAGAAACTATGTTTAAAAAAAAAACTATTTCTCTCACCTGTAAAAGGAAACAAAGTATATAACCTTAATTGTGAGAAAAAAAAAAAATGCAAGCTGGGAACATTCTACAAAACAACTTGCTSGTATTCTTCAAAAATATCAATATCATAAGAGAAAAAGAATGAAAAACTGTTTTAAATTAAAGATCTCATAGTAAATTCAACACGTAATCCTGACAGAGTCATAGACAAGGAAAATGAAATCTGTGAAGGACATAACTGCAATAATTATTGAAATGGCAATATTAACCATAGATTAGATAATAGCATTTTTTTTCATGGTACCTATTCTGTGACTATGTAGGGGAAAAATTGGAGCTCGATGCCAACACTCCAAGTATGGTATTAGAGCTTTGTCTATTAACTCTACTGTGTCTACTTGGCTTCATTTTATAAGCAGATATTCTCCATGTAACAAATAAGTTGGCTACCAGCAACCCCCAGACTCATGTCTCTTGGTTTAGATAATCCCAGCAGAAAGAGATTCTTGATATGGTCATGTATTAATCCTCCTCAGGTCATGTGCCCATCTGAAACTACTCATTAAGACACAGGTGTTAAGTAGTTTGGCTATCCTGGAGCACATGCTAGCTCCTGCTGTCAGAATACCATATTCAGCAACTCAGAATGTGCTAAGCAAACAGAAACCAAAGCTTTCATATTCTGCTCCCTCATGGAGTTCCTGGGAAAATTCACTGGAATGATAAATGTAAAATACTTTTTAAATTAAAAAGTTCTGTGCAGGGCTGGTGCTGTAGCTCAGTGGTAGAGTGCCTGCCTTGCACGTGTGAGGCACTGGGTTCAATCCTCAGCACCACATAAAAATAAAGATATTGTGTCCATCTACAATTAAACAAAAATTTTTAAAAAAAGTTTTGTGCAAAGGTAAGAGCCATTTCTAAAAGCTCATTTCATTAATTTAAACTATAATAAGATTCTCAATGTGTGTGTGTGTGTATGTGTGTGTGTATGTGTATGTGTATAAATCAGCTTCCTTCACTAGAATAGGACTTGTGATCATCATTTTATACTTCCCAATTTTAAAACTTTAGAGGAAGTTCAGTAGCCCAGGTGGATATATTTGCTAATGTAACAGGAGAAAGGGGACATTATTTTGCACCTTCTAAATAGTGAACTTGGAGGAGACCACCGACATTAATTATTCATCAAATTCTTCCTTTTACAAAAAGATGTGTTGGCAAATGAATAGTAATGGGAAGCATAATGTATTTATAAGCAGAGATATCGATTCCTTTGCACATAATGCCGAGGGTTAACATGCTGATTTTCGGAACTACTTTATTTCAGTCCTATCCTTTTCATACATGTAAATGCAGTAGCACAGAGTCTTTATAAAATCTTTAAATGAAGATTGATTTTTATACAAGGCCATTTTTAGTTTCAAAATATTCTTTTCAATGATTMCTGCTTCATAGACAAATAGAAGAGCCACTATTATCAGCCCAGTTTAATAAACAGCTTTACAAAACTAACTAGTTTATTAAACTAAAAAAGTGAAAGTGACTTCTTTCATGTTTTGTCAAACCTCAGGACTGGTACTTTTCAGAATATAAAACAATTAGGCTCTCAATGCTTGTTATGCTTTGAATGGTGATGAGATTTTATAAAATGGAGAACCAATAGTTGGAATTAGAATTTTAAGTTGTAACAAGAATATCTTGGTCACATCATCATAGCTTCTAAATCCCCGCATTTGCTGAATTTGGCATTTAAAAGTACAATGGAATAAATTGCTTTACCTGTTGTTGGACTGTTTAGATCAGGAAGAATGATTGGATAATCATTTTAATCATTTTTGTTTAAAGATAACAATTACAATAACCAAAAGAGAAAAAAGATTATTGACATAGCTGACTATTTAGGATGAAATCTAAGAAAATTGATACTGGAAGTGCTTTACTCAAACCAAGACAGTCCAAATCTGTATATGATAAGATTTATCATGGAAAGTCAAGATGTTTCTGGCCTATGCAAATTGATAACATCCGTTTTCTCCCCTACATCTAGCTATGTGGTAAACATGGGTCTGATTGACAAATTGTGTGGCTGCTTCCTCTCCGTGCAAGGCCCAGTAGATGAAAATCCCAAGATGGCCACTTTTCTGCAGCATGCTGCAGGACTCTTACACGGAATATGTAAGCTGTGCTTTGCTGTCACTGGAAGGTAAGAYTCAATTTTTGGACCATCTCTGGGTCATTTCATAGGTATATAGGTATCATTTGGCATCCTTTCCTTCTTGTCTTTTCTTTGTCATTTGTCTTGGTTTTTTTATGTTTAAGAAGTTGACATTTATTAAAATTTTGAGGAGGGCTGGGGTTGTGGTTCAGTGGTAGAACACTTGCCTAGCACATGTGAGGCACTGGGTTTACCCACTTCTCAGCACCATAAATAKATAGATAGATAGACAGACAGACAGACAGACAACTAAAACATAAATTAAAAAACAAGGTAGGGGATGTGGCTCAGTGGTTAAGTGCCTCTGGATTCAATCCCCTTAAAGAGTCTTGATTTCATCCAGTCCTTCTACTGAGATCCAGAGGAATCAAGTGATTCTCCTTGAGTCCATGAGTCAGACCCTCAACACAGCATAACACAACCTCAGTGCTTGTGTTCACCATTCACCTGCTTTTAATTATAGCCTCCTAAATTTATTTATTTTCCTTTTTGTTCCTTCTTCCAAAGTACTTCCATAAATAAAGGAAGGGAGCCATCTACAAACAGTAGCCCCCTGAAGTTATGAAGCCATAACCCTGGGCATGGTTAAAGTCATTGTGCCAGAGACTACTRCTGGTCTGATTGGCTATATATATTTAGTGTACACTAAATGCCAGTGACTCAGAGTAGGGTGTGTGTGTGCACACGCGTGCGTGCACAAATGTGTGTGCAGTGTGTGGTGCTGGGATTGAACTCAGGACCTCTTGCATGCTGGGCAAGCACCCTACCACTAAGCTACATCCTGAGCCCTGTGCAGACTATTTTATGAGGATGTCTTTTTTTTTTCCTAGTTGTTGACTGACCTTTATTTTATTCATTTATTTATGCAGTACTAAGAATTGAACCCAGTGCCTCACACAGACGAGGCAAGCGCTCTACCACTGAGCCATAACCCCATCCCTGAGGATGTCTTTTAAAATGAATATCCTCAACACTTTTTACTCCTTTATGAACAGAGTCCCTAAATCCACCTATTTATCTTTTCTCTTACCCAGTCTCTCACCAGCATTCTAGAAAGATTAAAACTGAGATGTCAGGGAAGCGCAGCATGGCCTGTATTCAGTATTCCAATGGAAAAGCTGAGAACTCAGAAAGTGATTATTTGGGGTCTTTTACCTACATAGGGTTAAGTATTCCTGTGATATACAGAAGCTAGCTACAGTATTGGCTATTTATGGGGCATAGGCACTTGCCAGCATCATAAAAGCTACCATGCTGCCCAGCTAGTTCCTCCCTGATGGTGTCTTCTCACTCAAGAGACCCTTTTTGGCTTTGACTGTTTTACTGTACATACCATCAAACTTGCCAGCATCTCAAATCTGTGTCACCTATACTTTTGAATCTGGATGAATATCACAAACATAAGCATTTCCATATGTGGTTGTTGTTCATTAGTAGACTTCAGTTTTCACATATTCAGTCGCTTGAAGTCTTTGGGACTTGAGAGAAATCTAAAGGTCATCCAAGTCTCTCATTTTCATAGACAGAAACACCAAGCCAAACTACTTGAATTAAAACTCAAGACTCCTGACTTGGTGCTTCTGCCTTGTACACTTGACTTTTTTATATTATTCRGAATGCAGGAGTGTGTATTACATTTCTTTGAAGATTTTCTTCATTCCATGGATGAAAAACAGATCCTTTTCTTTGATGTGCAATCATGCCTTTCTGACAACAGTCAGAGTATCTGCCCTATGCCAGATTGGTTAGTACTAAGCTAGGTACTTAGCAGTATTGCCTTCAGGGAGCCGAGACTCTAGTGTGGGATCAGATTTATAAACTATAACTGTAGCAAAAGAACTGTGGTATAAGAGTGTGTGCACAGAAGAGGAAGGAAAACACTTCCAGAAGAGATCAAAAAAGGTTTTAGTAGGCTTAATCTTAAAGGATCCAAGGCAAATGGAGGAACAGTGCAGTTGAGAATTTGTGCACTCTCTGGTGTAGCAGACATTATTTGGCCCATCTGGCAATCACCTGGCAACATCTTCCTATATTTCTCTACCTGAGGATGTTTTCTGGATAAGGAGCTATTAGCAAGAGTGCAGGGAAGTTAACACCTTCCAGAGTAACTTTCAGGCAATGAATTAGAAGATAATACTCCAGCTTCCTTAGCCATCAGTGAGACAATTCTGAGGTGTGTTCTATACCTTATCTCAGAGAGTCCCCAGCAGTAAGCCATTCATTAACATATCCTTGATTTCCTTCCCTACTTCCTCAAAATAATCTACTTGCACCCATCTCCTTGTTTTAGGATCTGCTTTGGGGGCAACCCAAACCAACAGTTACAGATATGTAAGACTTTATGTCATGTTCAGTTTGATGCTGCTGTGATGGAGAGTAGCAGGAGATGAGCTGTTAAATGAGCTCCTTGAATGATAGTTCTTCAGAGGCTCAAGGAAAGACAAGGGCTAGACAAGAGCTATGAAAGGATACTGAAGTTGTTTAAGAGGGATCAAATTTCTATTATAGAAGGAGCATTCCTGAAAAGTGTAGGGATCACTGGAAATGGCCCAGAGGCAGAAGGATTAGCAAGAGACTCCTATAAAATAGAAGAAACAAAGTCCCTGTAGGGTCAATGGAAAATGGGGAGGAGCAAATACATTTTGAAGAGGTGGAATAAATGTAGGAGAGATAGCACAGGGTTTGATGATGTGGGAGATGAAAAGAAGAAGAAATCTAGAATGATTTCCAAACTTCTGTTTGAAAATTTTAAGTGGTAGATGATATAGTCTCCAAATTAGGGAAAATAAACAGTTTTTCATAAGGGAAGCATGAGTTCAGTCCTAGAAATGCCTAAAGATTATCCAAGTAGACCAAAGTCCTTGTGTGCATGTGTGAGAATATATAACTATCTATGTAACTGAATTTTAAATAAATCAGTAATATATTCTTGGTTTTCCCCCAGTATAATTGTCCTTTTTCAACCTCAATTCCTTAGCAAATTTCTATTAGTAATACTTACTACAGGGGCTGGGTAGGTGGCTCAAGCAGTAATACGCTCGCCTGGCATGCGCGGGGCACTGGGTTCGATCCTCAGCACCACATAAAAATAAATAAAGATGTTGTGTCCACTGAAAACTAAAAAATAAATATTAAAAAATTCTCTCTCTCTAAAAAAAAAAAAAAAAAAAAAAAGACTTACTATAGTCCCACCAGCAGTATATGAGTGAACCTTTTTCCTCACATCCTCGCCAACACTTATTGTTGCTTATATGCATAATAGCTGTCATTCTGACTAGAGTGAGATGAAATCTTAGAATGGTTTTGATTTGCATTTCTCTAATTACTAGTGATGATGAACATTTTTTCATATGTTTGTTGATTGATTATACATCATCTTCTGAGAAGTGTCTCTTCAGGTCCTTGGCCCATTTATTGGGTTGTTTTTTTGGGGTCTAGCTTTTTGAGTTCTTTATATACCCTAGTGATTAGTGCTCTATCTGATGTGTGAGGGTAAAGATTTACTCCCAAGATGTAGGCTCTCTATTTACCTCATAGATTCTTTTGCTGGGAAGAAACTTTTTAGTTTGAGTTCATCCCATTTATTGATTCTTGATTTTAATTCTTGTGCCACAGCAGTATGGAGATTGAATGGAACCACCATTTGACCTACTATCACTCTCCTTAAAAACAGCATACTACAGGGACACAGCCACATCAATGTTTATAGCAGCACAATTCACAATAGCTAAATTGTGGAACCAACCTAGATGCCCTTCAATAGGTGAATGGATAAAAAAAATTGTGGCATATATACACAATGGAATTTTACTCAGCAAAAAAAAAAAAGAAAGAATAAAATCATGGCATTTGCAGGTAAATGGATGGAATTAGAGAAGATAATGCTAGGTGAAGTTAGCCAACCCTAAAAAACCAAATGCCGAATGTTTTCTTTGATATAAGGAGGCTGATTCATAGTGGGATAGAGAGAGGGAACTGGGAGGAATAGACGAACTCTAGATAGGGCAGAGGGGTGGAAGAGGAAGGAAGGGGGCATAGAGTAATTAATGATGGTGGAATGTGATGATCATTATTATCCAAAGTACAGGTATGAAGACACGATTTGATGTGAATATACTATGTATACAATCAGAGATATGAAAAATTGTGCTCTATATGTGTAATAAGAATTGTAATGCATTCCGCTGTTATATATAATTTTTTTAAAAATTTATTTTAAAAAAAGAAAGCTAAAAAATAAATAAATAAAAAGGATAGACTTTATAGACATAACTTAAACTTCAACAAACCTGATTGAAACCATGTATAAAATTTTTTAAAAACCTCAAAAAAAGACTTACTAAAAAAGCAAATATTCTAGAAAAAAGTCCAAGTGGTTTACTGATTTAATTTACCTAGGAAATCCTAATAGTAGTAGTGTAAGCTTTTACTCTGAATGACCCCTAATTGTTCTTCCTCTCATCCTTCAGCCTCCCAACATTTCCCAAACACCACCAAACCACAGGCGTTCCAGAAATTTTTCTACCTCTTCAGATATTTTTTACCTCTAATATCTGCATATTATTTTGTATTGCTCACCATTTCTTCATGGAAATTGTTTTCCAAAACTATAAACTACAGTTACCTGTTCSAGTATCTTGTTACACTCATTAGAGTTTCTGCACGAGGCCACAGCCATTTCTAAGAAGAAAAGTTGTGTGGTTTTTGCTTTGTTGGAGTAATTCACATAATGCCTGTTTTGGCTACCAGAAACCAACCAGAGCCAAAGAGTCCAGGAAGGCTTGTCCTCAAAGCCCTTTTGTGACTAGCAGAAATAAAAGACAAAGGGGAGCCAGAGAAGCCTTCAAAAATTGCCTCTTGAGCTGGCAAGAGCCTGAGATAATTAAGCAGACTAATTGATAGCACTGGCTTTGAGTAAACATTCTGCTGTCTGCCGGTGGCCAGGCCTTTGTGATGGTGATTACAGCAGGTCTGCCTTTGCCCTACTC